GGGGTGTTTTTCCCATTTTTTGGGGTGTTTTTCCCGTTTTTTGGGGTGTTTTTCCCGTTTTTTGGGGTGTTTCCCCCATTTTTTGGGGTGTTTTTGCCGTTTTCGGGGTGTTTTTCCCGTTTTTGGGGTCCCTCACTCGCAGATGAAGGTCCCGGGGGGAATGGCCTGCAGGGCTCGCACCCCCCAGCCCATCTTGGCCGTTCGGTAGAGCTGGAGCCGCACCCTGGGGTGGGGAAAAAAGAGAAAAAAAAATTGGTTTGGGGGAAAAAAAACAAAAAAAAACGGGTTTGGGGAGTAAAAAACAAAAAAAATGGGTTTGGGGGAAAAAAAAAAAAAAAAATGGGTTTGGGGGAAAAAAAACAAAAAAAAATGGGTTTGGGGAGTAAAAAAGCAAAAAAAATTGGTTTGGGGGAAAAAGATTTAAAAAAATGGGTTTGGGGAATAAAAAAGAAAAAAAATGGGGTTTGGGGAGTAAAAATACAAAAAAAATGGGTTTGGGGATTAAAAAAACAAAAAGAAATGGGTTTGGGGGAAAAAAACAAAAAAAATGTGTTTGGGGAGTAAAAAAGAAAAAAAAATTGGTTTGGGGGAGAAAGAGCAAAAAAAAAATGGGGATTTTGGGGAGAAAAAGAGGCAAAAATGGGGTTGGGGAATAAAAAAAGAAAAAAAATGGGGTTTGGGGGGAAAAAAGAGAGAAAAAGGGTTTTGGTGAAAAGGAGGAGGAAAAAAAGAGGATTTTGGGGTCAGTTTTGGGGTTTTTGGGGTGGGGATTTTGGGGTTTCTGGGTCAGTTTTGGGGGTTTTTGGGGTGGGAATTTTGGGGTTTCTGGGTCAGTTTTTGGTGGTTTTGGGATGGGATTTTGGGGTCAGTTTTGGGGGGTTTTGGGTCAGTTTTTGGGTCAGTTCCGGGTCAGTTTCTGGGGGTTTTGGGATGGAGTTTTTAGGGTCAGTTTTTGGGGGTTTGGGGTCAATTCTGGGGGTTTTTGGAATGGGGATTTTGGGGTCAGTTTTTGGGGATTTTTGGGTCAGTTTTGGGGGTTTTTGGGGTCAGTTTTTGGGGTTTTTTTGGGTCAGTTTTTGGGTCAGTTTTTGGGGGTTTTTTGGGGTCAGTTTTTGGTGTTTTTGGGGTCAGTTTTTGGTGGTTTTTGGGGTCAGTTTTTGGGGTTTTTGGGATGGGATTTTGAGGTCAGTTTTGGGGGATTTTTGGGGTTTTTGGGGTCAGTTTTTGGGTCAGTTTTGGATGTTTTTGGGGTCAGTTTTTGGTGGTTTTTGGGGGATTTTTTGGCCTCACTTGATGCCACTCTGCACCACTCTGTTCTTGCAGCTCCTCCAGCAGGTGCAGGCCTGGTTGCACTCGAAGATCAGGGGGGGCTCGATTTTATTGAACTCCTGCAGCAGCCGCCCGTCCTGGGGGGAAAAAATGCATTAAAACAACCCAAAACCAACACGAAAATAACCCAAAAATAACCCCCAAACCACCTGGAAAACAACCCAGAAATACCCTGAAAACAACATGAAAACAACCCAAAAATAACCCCAAAAATACCCCAAAAAACAACCCAAAAACAACCTGAAAATACCTCAAAAACAACCCGAAAATACCCAAAAAATATCCCGAAAATACCCCAAAAAACACCCCTGAAACACCCTGAAAACAACCCAGAAATAACCTGAAAACAACCTGAAAACAACCCAAAAAAAACCCCAAAAATACCCCCAAAATACCCTGAAAACAGCCCAAAAACAACCTGAAAACAACCTGAAAACAACCCAAAAATAACCCCAAAAATACTCCCAAAATACCCTGAAAACAACCCAAAAATACCCCAAAAAAACCCTGAAAACAACCCCCAAAATACCCTGAAAACAACCTGAAAACAACCCAAAAATAGCCCAAAAAAACCCCCAAAATACCCCAAAAACAAACCCCAAAAATACCCCCCCAAAACCCCCAAACAACACCCAAAACACACCAAAAAGAGCCCAAAAAAACCCCAAAATATCCCCCCAAAAAACCCCAAAACAACCCAAAAACCCAACCTAAAAACAACCAAAAAAAAAACCCCCAAAATACCCTGAAAACAACCCCAAACCAACCCCAAAACCAACCCAAAAATATCCCCAAAAACAACCCAAAAATATCTCAAAAATATCCCAAAAACCAACCCAAAACAGCTGCAAAAAAACCCCAAAAATAACTTTTCCCTGGCAGGAAAAAAAAATCTGATTTTGGGGGATTTTTGGGGATTTTTTGGAGCTATTTTGGGGCTCTTTTGGGGTATTTTTGGGTGCATTTTTTGGGCTGGTTTAGGGCTATTTTTAGGTGTTTTGGGGCCATTTTTGGGACTATTTTTGGGGCTGTTTCGGATGCATTTTTGGGGTATTTTTGACGGTTTTTTGGGCTATTTTTGGGGCTGTTTTGGGGTTATTTTTAGGCTATTTTTGGCCTGTTTTGGGGCTATTTTGGGGGCTGTTTTGGGGTTATTTTTAGGCTATTTTTGGGGCTGGTTTGGATGCATTTTGGGGCTTTTTTTGAGCTGTTTTGAGGCAATTTTTGGGCTATTTTTGAGCTGTTTTGTCTCTATTTCTCTCTCTCCATTACCCAAACCCCATCACCTTTTTTTTTTTTATTTTTTTCCCTCGTAGTCTCCAGGTGTTGGGGGTGGATTTTGGGGTCCCCTCCCCCTTCCCGGGGGGGTTTTTTTTTTTTTTGGGGTCCCCCCCCTCACCTTGTCGTACCAGCAGCGGATGCTGAGCTGCCCACAGAGGCAATTGGAGGAGGAGCAATCGTCCTGGCAGGTGCAGTGCTGGGGGGGCAGAGAGAACAGAATCCACCCCAAAATGATCCAAAGTTATCCAAAATGATCCAAAATTACCCAGAATCAGCTCAGAATTATCCCTGCATTACAACGAGTTACCCCAAAATCACCCCAAAGTGACCCCAAATCACCCCAAAGTTACCCAAAATTATCCAAAATTACCCCTGGATTATCCAAAATGATCCAAAATGATCCCAAATCAACCCAGAGTTACCCAAAATCACCCCAAAGTGACCCAAAATTATCCAAAGTCAACCCAGAGTTACCCAAAATCACCCCAAAGTTACCCAAAATTATCCAAAATGATCCAAAATGATCCCAAATCAACGCAGAGTTACCCAGAATCACCCCAAAGTTACCCAAAATCACCCCTGGATGATCCAAAATGATCCCAAATCAACCCAGAGCTACCCAAAATCACCCCAAAGTTACCCAGAATGATCCAAAATGATCCAAAATGATCCCAAATCAACCCAGAGCTACCCAAAATCACCCCAAAGTTACCCAAAATTATCCAAAATTACCCCTGGATTATCCAAAATCACCCCAAAGTTACCCAGAATGATCCAAAATTATCCCAAATCAACCCAGAGTTACCCAGAATTACCCCAAAGTTACCCAAAATTATCCAAAATCACCCCCAAATTATCCCTAAATTACCCAGAATTACCCCAGGTTACCCAAAATCACCCCAAAGTTACTCAGAATCACACCAAAATTATCGAAAATTATCCCAAATACCCCCCAGATCGTCTCCCAGTCCCTCCCAGTTCATCCCAGTCCCTCCCAGTGTCCCCAGTACCTGCAGGTGGGTGATGTTGTGGTTGATGTTCATGGTGCAGATCCCAAAATCCCCCCGAAATCCCCAAAAAATGCCCCAAAATCACCCCAAATCCCCTCCCAGTCCATCCCAGTCCCTCCCAGTTCATCCCAGTCCCTCCCAGTGTCCCCAGTACCTGCAGGTGGGTGATGTTGTGGTTGATGTTCATGGTGGAAGTCTCGCATTTACCCCCAAAAATGGCCCAAAATCCCCTCAAATCCCCCCAAAATCCCCCCAAATCTCCCCCAAATCCCCTCCCAGTCCCTCCCAGTCCCTCCCAGTTCATCCCAGTTCATCCCAGTGCTCCCAGTACCTGCAGGTGGGTGATGTTGTGGTCGATGTTCATGGTGGAGGTCTCGCAGTTACCCCCAAAAATCCCCCCAAAATCCCCCAAAATCCCCTCAAAACCCCCCAAAAACCCCCCAAATCCCCCCAAAATCCCCTCCCAGTCCCTCCCAGTCCCTCCCAGTGTCCCCAGTACCTGCAGGTGGGTGATGTTGTGGTCGATGTTCATGGTGGAGGTCTCGCAGTTCTCGGCGATGTATTTGTAGTCCTGGGGACACGGCTCCTCGTCCACGCCGTTCACGCACGGGATGGGAACGTTCTCGTGGCCACGAGCCACGTCCCTGGGGCGACCAGGGGGGGTCAGGGGGGTCAGGGGGGGCGAAAGGCACAAATTCCACGGGGGGGTTGTGGAGAAATGGGAAAAAACCCCGAGAAAATCGGCCCAGAAATGGAGAAATTCACCCAAAAAAATGGAAAAAATCCCGAGAAAATCGGCCCAGAAATGGAGAAATTCACCCCAAAAATGGAAAAAAACCCGAGAAAATCGGCCCAGAAATGGAGAAATTCACCCAAAAATGGTGAAATTCACCCCAAAAATGGAGAAAAAACCCGAGAAAATCGGC